ACATATCATATTATAGATATTATTGGAGGATGGTCACTAAGACCGAGTTCCATTAGAACACTCCCTTCATACTTGCATATTTGAATGAGCCACACCCATCTCTTGTGTTTCATTCTTAAGGCTCAAAGCCCTGATCAAATCGCATCTTCATGTGTATCACTACCGTAAGTAGTTCATACTCTAGCACAATGAGGCACTAAAACACAGGGTACTCATAAATCGGCTCTTTCAAATTTGTTAGCACATATCATTTAATGTCTATATACTCCATACATATTCATAAAACAATTAACTAAAATATAACCAAAGCATATTAAACATAATAAAAAGTTATTGAATCTTTTTTCCCCATATAACCTTACCATGTAATGTGGGATAGATTTCATACCTGAAAACCATGTAGTGTGGTACTTCCGCTTTCTTGATTTATTGTTTTTACATGTTTGACAAGCTTTTGTGATATTGGAAGAGCACGCAACTGGTTTCTCATGTCACGAAGTGTCCATCTCTTAGATTCTCTCTGTCTCACATAGTGAAGAAATACTCTTCTTAATCTCATCATTTCAAAGTATCACAAATTTGATTCTCCCACAGATTTTTAGCGTTCTTTTGCCACCACTAAGTCTCTCTATATATCCTTTCATTTCGAAGAACTAATATGCTTTTATAGGTATTGTGTTTCTTCTTATTTCTATTATTCCCAGATCGAACATTTTTCACATAGAGTGTCTTATCTTGCCAACTATGTATTACTTTTCTCTTAAGTTTTACTATAATAAATCATACTCATGACACACTATAAAAGATTTTTAAATAAGCCCTAAAAAAAGGTCTCCATAATTAGGAATCCAAAGATGTGTCTTAACATGCCACATCTTTTAATTTACTTCACAATAGAAGATGAGCATCCCATGATAAAAATATGATATCTCTCGACTTATAAAGAGTTTATCTCCGAATCCTTTTGAGTATTGAAATAGACTAAAAAATATAAAATAATGCTTAGTTTCATCCCTAAATCATATCATTGAGTGAGTCTTCATTTTAGTGACATTTACGTCACGATGCAATTTTTTTCTCAACAGAAAATCAAATTGACCACCTCTCAATAAAAAATTGTTTATCTCAATCCTCAACGAATTTCTTACTGAAATCTTTTGAGTTGAAAACTAGACTCAAAACCAAATCATAACATCATAGTGTGAATCTCAAATAATATTTATCTTCAGATAAATAAATAAGTGACATTCACATCATAAAATAAATCATACTGCAGAATTTCATGATGAATATCATCTAATAAAACTGTATTTTTTCTGTACCTTCATAGAGTTTACCTTTCAAACTAATTTTGTTTGAAAATAGACACATAATAGTAACACATATATTTCTACAAGCCTTATATCACTCTGTCAAATAGGCTTGATAAATATAGATATTCATGTCTCAATGAAGAATATACCAAATGGCAGAAAATTCAAGTTGACCTCTCTTCCCATAGATATTTCTCTCTCAGATAAATTTTATTAGAAAATAGACTCAGAATGGAAGTCTAAAAACTTAGTGTGGGCTATAAACTATTCTGTTAAGAATTAAAATAAAATCATTACTTCAAAGTCATTAAATTAGTTTTAGTTCCAGAAAACAACACTTGTGTTTCATTCAATAAATAGACCATATCTTTCAAACCACAAGAAATTTCTTGATGAAACCTTTTTTGTTTAAGTTACAGTCAAATTTCAGCTAGAAATAAAATCATATGGTTGGTGGTAAAAATCACGGAACTCAATAGACAATTCCTGGAAAATCCTACTTTCAAAGGCACACAATATTACTGAAGTATGCAATAGAAAAATACATCATTATCTTCTTCATATCACTGCTCTAAAATAGCCTAGAATTCCCATTATGCAGAGTGCCTTTTCGGTGTTGGAATATTCCAATGATTCTTAATCGTGGGTGTATTACTTGACCACAAAAGTTATTAGCTTTCTTTTATCTTATTCTCAAGCTTGATCTAGACTCAATAAAGAGAAAAAACAACTAATGACATCAAATATCAATACTCTGATACTAATGAAAGAAGAAATAATATGATCTTCTAGGGGGATCGATATATTTTATTTTCTTCTTTTCACCCCTTTTCTTTCTATTCTTTTTCTTTTAACAAAGATCACAACAAATAGTCTAACTACAATAACTCTTGCTTCACATAAAATAAAACTAACAAATCCAATATCTTAAAAACCTTGATGTCACTTCTTATGCTTGATAATATAAAGATTAAATGTAAGAAATAAAATGAAAAGTGCCGGAGATTACCTCAACCGGACTTACTACACCCCACACTGAGTCACCATCATCCGATGGCTCGGGATCGACGATCTAGCTTTAATCTCAACCGGAAAAGCAATTTTAGGCCAAACTTTTCTATAGAACTATAAACTCCCCCTTTTGATCACAAATCTTTGAACCTAGGCTTAAACTCCCAAAGACCTAATTGAGCATATCCTCTACAACACAACCCTTAGGTTTAATGGAGATGAGAGAGAATGAGAGATATCCTAGGGTTGGGGTGTGCCCCCTCTATGAGCTAAGAGAGAGAAGAGGCTAGAGAGAGAGTGGGGCATGCCCCATAGAAAGGGAGAGAGAGTTTAGAGAGAGAGAAGAGATATTGGTACAAAGAATAGAGTAGAGGAGGTCCTCTATTTAATAAAAAAAAAGCACAAACCTTCTCATACTTTCCACAAAATCTTTCAAAATATATCAAGTTAATATCTAGTCAATATTTAGTTAATATATTCCAACTATATGACCACATGTCACATCCCACAAAATAAGGAAAGAGAATAAAAGGGTGGGGCATGCCACCCTAGAGGGGGCTTCATGGGCCCCACCTCCAACAACATGGTAAGCCCATATACACAATTGTCCCCCATAAAGTTATTTATATATATAAAAATAGAAATAATTTTATAATATTATTTGAATATTTAAAATATTATAAAATCAATATATTTATTTTCATAAGCTCAAATTTTATAAATAAAATATCCATAGATTTATAAAAATTCAAATAATAACTCTAAAATAATATTTATCATTAAACAAATAGAATTAAACTAATGTGATGGGAAAAGGATCTATATGGTTTAGGAATCAACAATTATGGGACACTTCACCTTCAACTGCGGACTACAGACCACACTTACTTTATCAGACCGACCCAATGTTTTCCATGACCCACAGTCGAAACAGTGGCTCACCAAAGTCTGGTAAATGAGCCAAGAGATTGCAATCCCAGTCTGTAGATTTCAGGTCCTCATCTAGATACGAGCCAAGGTTACTTAAACCTTATACTACTACAACTCCTATGGCGCATAGGGGTATCTCTCGCACATTCATACACTTCATCTTGAAAAGTGGCTTGCTTTCCTGAAACGGTCTATCAATATGTGTGTCGTGTGATAGTACATAGATGAGGCTTTGGCCTCGATCTCTGAAGGCCACCATCACATACAAGGGTCACACAGTCCTTCAGCTCATTCATCTGGGCATATTCTGACCTCATCAAGGGATGACCCATTAGAGCCATTATCAGTTTATACTATATGCTTAGGTAACATGGGTTTTTTCCAACCAACTAGCCTAGACCGTCAAGCATAGTCTAGTATCAGCAAACATCGTTTGCTTAGTATGGTCCAAGAGGGACTACACTCCTATTCCACTATATCAAATGTTTTATTACAATCACTCATAACACCTTTAAAGGCCACATAAACCTAACAAGGTCTACAGGTCCTTGACCATGATCGATTAGTATACTTAAAAAAAGAAAAGAACAGAGGGTGGTCCGATGTTCGAACCCACAGACTACTTAATCTAGTTAAAAAAATAGAACAGATGGTGGTTCGATGTTTGAACCCACAGACTGCTTAATCTAGTTAAAAAAAATAGAACATAGGGTGGTCTAATGGTTGCATCAGACTGCATTGTTCAGTAAAGAAAATAAAACAAAAGGCGATCTGATGGTTCGAACATTGGATAGCATTGTTCAGAAGAAAAAAAAAAAATCAGAAGGTGGTCCAATGTTTTTGCTATTGGACCGCTTTCTATTCAAATTTTTTTACTTAACAACACATTCCTATACTGTAACCATCAGACCACTTGTTTTAGTTTAAAGAAAATTGAATAGAAGGCGGTTGATGTTCAAACCATCACACTACTTGTTTTACTTACCAATATGTATGAGGACCAGGGGCAAATTTGACAAAAAATAATAAGTATCGAGGTTACCAAGTGGTCTGGTTTTTGAAAAATCGGACATGGGATAAACTTGAGAAAAATAAAAAATTCTAAAATCCATCCTTCCAAATAATAATAGCCTATTTTCAAGCTAGACTATTATAACGGTAAATAACCCGGTCTATACATTAATTTCCCTATTATATTTAATTCTTTTGATTTTCATACATACTGCACTTAACTTTACTAGAAATTGTATCGTAATAAATACAAATTTTTTCATGAACATGTTTGTTTTCTCTTTTGAAAAACGATTACTCAATATTTTCATCGTCAATAAAAAGCATTAAAAACATTTATCTTTATAAATATTCTCCGGAAAAAGTTTATATGCGGTTGTAACCTTAAAATGTAAACGTAAAGATACACCTAAAAAATCTATCAAAAAAAGTTGTTTTAATGTTGAAAAACCCCTAATTGATCATCTTGATATCATGATGTATAGATATGGAAAAAGAAAAGATTTTGAGACCCAAAAACAATGCATATAGCAAACATTATCAAGACCGTCCATTTTTAAGATTTTCATATGTTTATAAATCTACTTGATTTAACTATTTTTGGAGTTTAAAATTTTATAATTAAAGATGAAATAGATTTTAAGATAATCCTAAAAACTTCTTACACTAAAAATGCATATTAGGATAAAATTTGGAAGTACGCCTTAATTGGATTGTTGAGGTACACTAGGATGTTAGTAGGAGCTGGGAGAGGCACTAGTGTCTGGCACGCCAAATGGCTTGGGAATTATCCCTTGAAATTACTTTATCCTGACGTATATTCCATATCTATTCAAAAACAAGACTTGCTATCCAGTTTCATTTCTGTAGAGGGAGGTCAGCCTTTTTGGAATTTACTGCTCCATATGAAGAGTTAATCAGGTGCGGCTGACAACTATACTTCTCTGCTGTCCTCTTTGTACAACGTCTGTTATTTGCCAAGAAAGCATGATAGGATTATCTGGTCTTTGGAACCATGTGGCTCTTTGTCTGTGAAGTCGCTGTACGAAATGCTTTTCAGGGATCATTACATTCAAAGCCATAACCACCTTGCCAAGTTTTGGAGATGCAAAGCACCAAGCAAGGTGAAATCATTCTTGTGGCTGTGGGGATGTGCCTACCAAGCGTGTGTTTGTTTTGTAAAAATGCAGATGAATCAATTGACCAACTCTTCCTGCAATACACTTTTGCGGAAAGGATTTGGGATTGGCTGAGTGGTATTTCGTGCTGGTTAACTCCCTGTCCCAAAGGTATCTCTAACCCGCTGCAACAAATTTGCACTCCCCCATTCGCTTCCTTGGGTATCGACTTGTGGAGAATTGTTGTTGCTGATGCGCTTTGGAGTCCGTTGAAAGAAAGGAATTTGCGGACGTTTGAGGGTTGCAGCAAAGATCTATCTTTCCTTATTGATTCTATTAAGAGATCGTCTATTATGTGAGCTTTTGCGATATTCCCGGTGCTTTCTTTCCTCAAGGATATTTTCTTCCCTAACTTTCCGGAAATTGTATTCTTCCTTTTCGTTTTTTCCTTTTTATTTTGTTTTTATTTTGTTTCTTGTTGTGTAACTTCATTATCTTAATGAAATAACTACTGTGTATTCTTTTAAAACAAAAAAAAAAAGAGTTGCAAAACTCTGTAGACACCACACCCATATTCTTCATTGCATATTTATATAAGGGTTTTGTTAGCCGAACAAAACCCTTTATATAATTGTACAATGAAGAATAACAAAATCCTTTACTTAATGGGTGCAGATGGTATACAGATGCATCAGTAGGTGTAGACGTAACGTGCACCTTCAAATTTTATTATGGTATATAATTTTAATGGAAAATGTTTTTAAGATTATCTCAAAATTTATTTTTATATCTAATTATAAAATTTTAAATTTTAAAAATGGTTAAAATCAAGTAGATCTATAAACATATAAAAATCTTGAAAATGGACGGTGTAGATAATATGTTGTAAAATGCATTATTTATGAGACTTAAAATCTTTTTATTTTTCATAGTCGTATATCTCGAGGTCGAGAATCAATCAAAGGGTCAACATTAAAAGTACTTTTTCCGATGGATTTTTGAGGGGCATTCATAGTTCTACATTATAAGGTAGCATCTTTATATAAATTTTTGGAAAAATTTCGTATAGAACTTTAATTCTTCGTATTATTTCATAATAGATTTTATTTATGTTTTTCTTTCAAGCAACATTAAAAAAATTTTAAAGATTTCACCGTACCCTTTCATCTTTTATCTACCTATTTTATTGAATTTTGACCTTAAAAATTAGTCCAAACAAATATTTTTATATCATTTTATCTCAAAAAAATTTTTAACCATCTTTTTTTTTTTTATTCATTAAAAACGTTTTTGGGTTTAAATAGTATTGGGTTTAAATAGTATAAAAAGATTAAAGATAATTTTTAAAATAAAAAATTAATTAAAAAAATAAAAATAAGAGATAAAGATAAACCTCTTTTAAGGCCTTTTTTATACGGTTTGAAAGAAAAACAGAAGAAAGATACGAAAAATTAAAATTCTAAACAAATTTTAAGGCCTTTTTTATACGGTTTGAAAGAAAAACAGAAGAAAGATACGAAAAATTAAAATTCTAAACAAAATTTTTCCATAACTTTTTCCATATATAATTGTCTACACGATGGCTTATCTTATTCCTATACGCAGCGTATGTAATCCGACCGGTTCTTCAAAATCCCCGTTCATTTTGAGGGGCAAATGCGGTAGATTGGAGTAATAAATGATCAAATCTGTAAAGGAGTGGACAGACGGTGGGGATCCCAGTAAATCTGTAAAGAAATGGACAGACGTGTGGGGATCCCATTAAATCTGTAAAGGACTGGACAGACGTGTGGGGATCCCATTAAATTTGTAAACGAGTGGACAGATGTGTGGATGCGAGCGGGGGCGATGAGGTGACACGGCCAACCGATTCGGACCATTCATCGTGTGGCGATCATTACACATCCCCTTCAACATGGTCGGTTTTCAACTTTACCCATTCCCCATTATTGCCCTGCAAATCTGCTCTTCCGATCCACACAACGCACCCTTTCCTTTCTCTGTTGCAAAAACTTAACATTATTTTTTGTTTTTTTTTTTTGGTTTTGTTTTTGTCTCACAGGGGGAGATCCTGTACGTGTGAAAATAACAGAAGAGGTCATGCATGCTTTCTCTCTTGCAAAAAAGTTGAACATCTTTTTTTTTTTTTTCTTGTTTTTTATGTCTTAACATGGGGGAGATTGAGAGTGAGATAGGGTTGGCAAAGGGCGTGGCCTATTCCCCTTTGAGTTGGCCCTGGTCCTATAAGGGATGGGTCGAGCCAGGCTGAGCTGAGTAAATTTAATAATAAAGAAATAAGGGTGAGGCGCCCTTATATTGGGCTAGTATTGGCTCAGCCCTCAGTTACATTTTGTGGTCTAGGCTAGAGAGTTACATTTTGTGGTCTTGGTCTAGGCTAGAGATATGCAGCAATAATGGCCACCTATTTATTTGGGGATAGAGATCTATAACTGTAACAATCGTAACATTTCAAAAAGAAAAAAAAAAAAGAAAGAGAAAAAATACTTTTAAATAGGTGATGGTCTGTTTGAGCATGATCGTCTTTAGGGACCATCACTATTTTCGAAAGTTTTTACTTGGTTTAAACTCTTGCTTGCTGCTTGCCACGTCCTTTAGTGGACGTTGGTTTTCATATGTTAAAAACGGACTTTTAACGCGACACCTCAAGTATGAGGTAGAGCCTAATAAAATAATATAATAATATGTTATAAGAATTTAAATAAGGGAGGTGAGCACTCTCACCTTAAAAAAATTTGAGATCTCTCTCTCTGGTCGAAACACAGTGAACTCCTCTCTCGAACCGAATTTTTATCGGAAGCTCCCTCTCAAATATTTGTGTGTAAGTGATATCGTCTTTCTGAAAAATAGTCTGTTTTTAATAAATAGTGATATTTCCGTCTAGGATCTTTATTTTATAAGTTTTGTGTGTAAGTGACTTTATTGTCTCGAAAAATAATCCATTCTTTTTAAAAATAAAATGAAATAATTATTTATGCTTATGTCATGAATTTTAGGCGTGATAAATTTTATGCGCACGCGACCTCATTATCTTGAAAAATAATCTTTTTAATAAAAATTGTGATATTTTATCTATGTTAGAAATTTTAAATCCTGTAAATTCTTAGAAAAATAAATTTATTTATTTTTCTTGTCTATTGTTAGAAAATTTTAAATACAATCAAATTATTAGAAATAAAATGTGATATTTCTGCTTTTAGTAAAATTGTGAGATTTCTTTCTACTGTTTTTAAATATTTAGACATTGTAAATTTCATGTGCAAATGACTGCCTTATTATCTGAAAATTGATATTTTTGCATTTGATTATAGCATTGTTGTGAAATATTTATTTGCAAATTAACATCCCATAAATTGTGATAATTCCGTATTTGTGAATTTCTATAAGAGTTTTTCTATATATATTAGATTGGCAATTATGCTAGAATATCTTTACGAACTGCTATCTTTCTAAATTTGAGCCCAAATATTTGATTGGCTATTTTTAAAATGTTATTGAAAGTGACTGTTATTAATGGTTTCAGTGAAATTCATATTAATGATTTTAGTGATATATTGAGTACATGATATTGCTGCTTTTGAATGTTTAAAGAGATTTAGAAATACTTTAAGTATACAAGTGGACTCATCCGGTTCGCCGGTGAGGTATAAGTGGACCTATCTGGGACGTCGGTAGGGATTAAGTGGATTCATCCGGTACGTCGGTGAGGTATAAGTAGACCTGCAGGGATTAAGTGGACCTATCTAGGACGCCGATAGGGATTAAGTAGACCCATCAGGACGCTAACGGGGTATATAGGTGACCTACTTGGGACGCTAATAGGGTATTGTGAAATCCTTTGAATTATGCACTGCCGTTAAAGTGTTATATGCATTTCAATCATTTGGATTGTGGTTAATTGTGCATTTCTGAAGGTGAAATTGTTATCTATAAATGTTAGTACTCGCATTATTTTTTTATTGACTTCCATTTTGAAAGTTTGTTTATATCTTTCATTGATGATTATTTTTAGGATTATGATGATCACTTACTGAGTAGCCAAACTCATCAAACTATTGTAAATATTTTTTCATGATAACTACAGATTCATTTTGAGTGCTAGTCAAGATCAACCTTGGAAGATATTATTATTGTGCTAGCTTTCTTTTGTTACTTTATAAGACCTCACCATTGTAAATTTGTTCTATCAAGAGATATATATATGTTTTGTCTGTCACATCTCAGGAATAACAGTATTGTAAACTCTTGGGGTGTGACAATAACACTTAGGTTTATGTAAACAAAATAGAGTCACACTTCAAATTTTTGTCCGCAACAAAAATCTCTACAATGACTTTAAAATTGATGTTTAACATCCACAATAAATTTTGAAAATTCAAAATAGTACAAATCCTGTGGATCCGCAACATTTATTTTTAGAAAAAAATAGATGGCCTAGTTAATTTGTTACAATATATATTATTTTTAGAGCTTGAAATCTTAATTTTTTTCACAACTATAATATTTAAGTCGAGATGATCAATATAAAATTTTTTCAATACTTAAATGCAGTTTTACTATGAGGCTTTACTTATTTTTCCGTTACTTAGAGAGAGAGAGAGAGAGAGAGAACTACCTTGTGTTTTTAGAGAGCCACAACGAAGCAGCCATCCAATTTGTGTTCATGGATGGAAGACAGAGGAATCATCCAAGAACCAAAAGGGGGCCCTCTCTATGTATTGAATGGTTTTAAATGCGTGATAAGGCCCCTTCCTTTCCTCATGTAAAATGATAGGTCCCCTCTATTTAATTGTTTTTGTGATAGGTCCCCTCTATTTAATTATTTTTGTGATAGGTCCCCTCTATTTAATTATTTTTGTGATAGGTCCCCTCTATTTAATTATTTTTTTGTTCAGAGTAAAGAGTCTACGGACGGTCTTTACCCTTATAGTACTTGCATAGAGTAGACAACAACAGCTCAGCTTTGTCGTTTAAAAGCGACTTTCCACGCATCCTGAGACTAAATAGGACGGAATTCTCAAAAAAAAAAATATATATATATATATACATATATATATATATTTAACAATTTTGATCCGGTTCAATTTTTTAAACATTGAAACATCTTGCCGCATTTTACCCCTCCCGTTAAAGCAGCAGCCCCAAGAGTCGTTAAAAAACCCCAAAACATATTGGCCATTACTTGCACCTTAACGCCGAAAGTAAGACATAAGAGGAAAGAGAAAGCCAGACGAGAGAGAAAACAAGAGAGAAAGAGGGAAGAGGAGGATATGCAAGAGATTTTTTTAGAGCCGATCTTTCCTCTCCATGTTGAGTTGTCATTGGTTTTATTGAAAAACTTAGAGAAAGCAAGAGGGAAGAGGAGGATGGGGCATCCTTCGGTTTCAAGAAAAGCACTGAGCCACACTTTGTGGCCTCCATGGAGGAAGTAGAGGCGAGAGATCAATGGGTCACCTCTTGATCCTAAGGTGTTGCACCTAAGCTGAGGCATATGGCATTCTATTTTGAACAGATTCTGATCCAATATTTGAAATATTGGACTGAAGTCAAAATTGTCAAAAAAAAAAAAAATAGAGATTATATCCTTCTTGATAATAAAGACCAATTTTTTAGCCCTTTCATTATAATGACCCTTTAATTCGGTCCTTACATAAATTTTCCATCCATATATTCACATACCGTTATATTAAGTAGAGGTAACAATCGTTATGTTCGAAAAATCGAAAAATCACATAACGAGAAAGAAAAATAGCAGGACTAGTACATCTAGCAAAATCTAAGGGGGTAGATGTACATTTATTCCGATTAAGACATTAGCTAGGACTAGGACTATTCTTAGGATCCCAAAATTTGGGGCGCGACCTTATCAACTCCAACCACTTTTTATGGGGTGGTTTTTAAGTGTGAGGTCTATTGTTAGGACGTGATACCAAATCACTACCTCATGTGGTATTGGTATTTTGAACTCGTTGAATGTCATTTTAGTCATTATGAATAGGCCATTTGCATTGAGGGTTTATAACCCATTGATTTGAGTGAAAAAAGTGGGAAAAGAAAAGAAACAAAAAGTGGGAAAACGTAGAGAGAAGGTTGGGAAGAAATTATGGAGTTTTTCTTACAAAACCCTAATGCCACCATTTGGATTCGAGTTTGCGTCATTTTATCGGCATTTTTTTGCGACATTAGTGAATTAAAGAAAAGAATTGATTGCAGGTCGTTTTATAGTAGGAAGTTCTTTTGCTTGAGCTTTTATTGAGATTGTATGAGGTAACTCTACATAACTTCAATCTTGTAAGTTTTCTTCTTGATACTGAATACATATTTGCCGTCTTGCCCATAGACGTAGCCGATCTTGGGTGAACCACGTATATTTGCATGTCCCTCTCTACTTTTATTTGTGTTGTTCTTTAATAATTTCCCATATTACTTGTTTTCTTGTTTTTTTTTTTTTCAATTATATTGTACTTGTAATTGCATCTTGGGCATGTGATTTGAGTATTGAAATCATCGTGATGGAGTGCTCACCACATCTAGTGGGTTCCAATTTGCTCAAAAGGGGTATTGAGTTATCCCGATCTATAACAAGTAGTATCAGAACTCAAGGAATTAGTGTAGTATTTATAAGAAAATGACATCTCGCAAGTTTAAGGTAGAGAAGTTTAATGGGAAAAATAATTTTGAAATTTGAAAATTTAAAATTTGCAAGATTTTTGGTACATCAAGGGCAACACAAGACATTACTTGGAAAGGACAAAAAACCGATCAATATGACCACTGATGATTGGGATGAACTTGATATGACGGCATGTGCTACTATTCACTTTTGTTTGGCGAATGAAGTGTTGTTTAACATTGTTGGGGAACAGTCAGCAAAAGATTTGTAGGAAAAATTAGGAAGTTTATATCAAATGTGTCGAAACACTAGAATGAAAGATGGTGGAAATGTGGCAAAAGGTCGATCGAATGAATGGGGTGATTCATCAAGGGGTCATTCAAGAAGTAATTCAATATTTCAATCAAAATCTAGATGGCCCAATAACAAGAATGTGTGTTGGCATTGTGGGAAGCACGATTATATAAGAATAATTGCTT